AGTTGACAACTTCCCTTTTTGCTGTTTTAATGGTTATTCAGATAAGGACAAAGATGCAAAGAAACATAGTAGCAAGAAGCGAAAGGTGCGTGAGATAATCGGTATTTAGATATGCTATTCATTTATTTGGTCAACTGATTGTCTACTGGTTATATGGTGTGACTGGTTAACTTATTTATTTATTGGTTCAGATTTGGACATGAGCATGTCCAGTGTTCTAACTGTTGGTATGAGTAGTTCCAGTTTTGATGAAAAGCTTCGAACTATGGTCTTATTTATTTTCTGGTTGAATGGATGCCACACGGCAAAAGGATAAAATAAATAGATCAATAATGAGGCACTAGGAATGAATACGACACCAGCTATGCAATATGTGGCACTTATATATAAATTTCGCGCACGCGTGTGTGCGTTTGCCTTCCAAGTAGAGTTCTTTATGTGCTACATTATGTATTTGTTGAATATATTTTTGCTCTAATGCCAAATACTTGTGGTATTACATTTCTTGATATAGGTGATGATTTTTTATTCTCTTCTGAGAGCCATAGTACACGAATAAGAATACTTATTAACCAAGTGAACTTTCTCTGACACTTAATTGTAGCGTTCAAGGCGATCATCAGATGCTAGTTCAAGCTCGTCGTCAGAAACATCGAGCAGTGATACCGATGATGAAAGAGAGTCAAAACGGTCAAAATCAAGGTCAAAGAGAAGCAAGAAAGGGAAGAAGCACCGCTCGAGATCAAAGCACTTGAACAGTGAAGATGAAGAGGCGGATGGACCTTTACCGCTTTCTAGATTCTTTGGGAGCATAAAAAGATGATTCTCGTTTATACGTATTTGTGTTGTTTGCTGGTAGGGGCACTTGGTAATTTGTTCCGGCATGTTTCCAGGCTCTGAGGCTTCACTATTTCATTTTCCTTTATTTATGTTGCTGCTTGAACGTGGTGGACGTCCTTGTGTATGTTGTTTCGTGTAGTGAACATTAAAGTGCGTGAAATTTGTGAAAGCTTTGAACCAAATATAAATAATTTGTTGTTAGTTCTTTGCGTTTCTTTGGAAGAGAACTTTCTGTTAAGCTTTTGTTCGTATCTGTCCTTGTTATTGACCATTACTCGTTGGTGTTTGCTTTGAATTGGTTAAATTATTAGATTAAGACTACCAATATATATATATATATATAGGGATTGGTTCCAATGCATCCCATTATTTAAAGTGAGGACGTGAGACTCATTCCTAGCCACAAGATTTAGATCTTGATTTAAATAATAATTCTTTATTTTTATTATTTAATTCTTTATTTTTAATTATTTAAATATTATTATGACCATTGACCGTTGACTCCGGCGTTGACCGTTGACTTCCGGTGTTGACTTCCGGCGAAAATCGTTGACTTCCGGCATTGACCGTTGACTTCCGACGTTGACCGTTGACTCCGGCGTTGACTTCCGACGTTTACCGTTGACCATTTGTCTTTTGTTATGCTATTTCTTTCTTGCTAGGTTAGTTGTGTCTTGTTGCTAGATTAGTTGTTTGTTGTTGCTAGGTTAGTTATTTGTAGCTGCTGGGTTAGTTGAGTTTTGTTGCTAGGTTAGTTGTCTTTTGTTGCTAGGTTATTTTTTTCTTGCTGCTAGGTTAGTTGTCTTTTGTTGCTAGGTTATTTCTTTCTTGCTGCTAGGTTAGTTGTTTGATGCTGCTGCTAGGTTAGTTGAGGACGACCGCCGCACCACCATTCCACAGGCCGACCGCCGTTTTCCGCCGTCATCTTCACTCTCTCCGCCGCCACAGCACCAGGCATCGTCTCTCTGACCGCCATGACCTGCGCGACTCAGGTCCGCTGCTCGTCGCAAGTGAACACCTCCGGCCGCCGCCGTTTCATTTCGTCCGCCAGCACCGCGGCTCGATTCCGACGTTGAAAAGGTTGCCTCGTCTGGCAACAACGACCGGAGAATGTCGTCTTTGCGAAGGCACGTCATCTCGTCCGGGCGGTTCCCACGGCGGCGGTCGAAGTCAACGGTCAATGCCGGAGTCAACTAATAATTATTTTATTATTTAATTAATGTATATTTTAATTGATTTTGATCTAGACAAAATGAGTGGCTAAGATTGAGTCTCACGTACTCATTTTAAGGAGTGGTCTCATTGGATCCATCCCCTATATATATAGGGATGTACTCCGGTGAGAATAATGCTCAATGAAAGAAATAAGAATAAATCTTAACCGTCGGATTGAGTGATCTAATGGATTAAAAAACACAGCGTTTATACATCGATTAAGGGTATTTTAGACATTTAATACATCAATAATACACCAATCTAGTGGACCCCACCTCAATTAACGTATCAGTTGTCACACCTCTCTCTCTCTCCATCTCTCTCTCTGCATCTCTCTCACTTCCACCTCCCCTCGGTAAAATTTGGTCAAACTCACCCACCGACTCTCTCTCTCTCTCACTCACTAACACACACACGCACACGGCTACACACACAGAGCACAATATTCCCCGTCGTCCCTCTTCCAACAGTCCGCCGGTCGCAGCCGCCGCGCCGCCGTGCCTCCACAAAAGCCCATCTACCTGCCGATCTTCACTTCTCCCACCCATTCCGTCGCCGTGCCTCCACACACGCGCCTCTGCCCAGCCATCGCCGCCGCAGCACGCCACTGCCGGTCGCCGGAGCCCACTGCCCGCAAAAACGTCGCCGCCGTCGAAGCCCGCTGAAACGCCATCGCCGTCGGAGCCTGCTGAAACACCGTCGCCGAAGCCTAGTGCTAGGCAAAGCACGAACAGGACGACCGCCGCACCACCATTCCACAGGCCGACCGCCGTTTTCCGCCGTCATCTTCACTCTCTCCGCCGCCACAGCACCAGGCATCGTCTCTCTGACCGCCATGACCTGCGCGACTCAGGTCCGCTGCTCGTCGCAAGTGAACACCTCCGGCCGCCGCCGTTTCATTTCGTCCGCCAGCACCGCGGCTCGATTCCGACGTTGAAAAGGTTGCCTCGTCTGGCAACAACGACCGGAGAATGTCGTCTTTGCGAAGGCACGTCATCTCGTCCGGGCGGTTCCCACGGCGGCGGTCGAAGTCAACGGTCAATGCCGGAGTCAACTAATAATTATTTTATTATTTAATTAATGTATATTTTAATTGATTTTGATCTAGACAAAATGAGTGGCTAAGATTGAGTCTCACGTACTCATTTTAAGGAGTGGTCTCATTGGATCCATCCCCTATATATATAGGGATGTACTCCGGTGAGAATAATGCTCAATGAAAGAAATAAGAATAAATCTTAACCGTCGGATTGAGTGATCTAATGGATTAAAAAACACAGCGTTTATACATCGATTAAGGGTATTTTAGACATTTAATACATCAATAATACACCAATCTAGTGGACCCCACCTCAATTAACGTATCAGTTGTCACACCTCTCTCTCTCTCCATCTCTCTCTCTGCATCTCTCTCACTTCCACCTCCCCTCGGTAAAATTTGGTCAAACTCACCCACCGACTCTCTCTCTCTCTCACTCACTAACACACACACGCACACGGCTACACACACAGAGCACAATATTCCCCGTCGTCCCTCTTCCAACAGTCCGCCGGTCGCAGCCGCCGCGCCGCCGTGCCTCCACAAAAGCCCATCTACCTGCCGATCTTCACTTCTCCCACCCATTCCGTCGCCGTGCCTCCACACACGCGCCTCTGCCCAGCCATCGCCGCCGCAGCACGCCACTGCCGGTCGCCGGAGCCCACTGCCCGCAAAAACGTCGCCGCCGTCGAAGCCCGCTGAAACGCCATCGCCGTCGGAGCCTGCTGAAACACCGTCGCCGAAGCCTAGTGCTAGGCAAAGCACGAACAGGACGACCGCCGCACCACCATTCCACAGGCCGACCGCCGTTTTCCGCCGTCATCTTCACTCTCTCCGCCGCCACAGCACCAGGCATCGTCTCTCTGACCGCCATGACCTGCGCGACTCAGGTCCGCTGCTCGTCGCAAGTGAACACCTCCGGCCGCCGCCGTTTCATTTCGTCCGCCAGCACCGCGGCTCGATTCCGACGTTGAAAAGGTTGCCTCGTCTGGCAACAACGACCGGAGAATGTCGTCTTTGCGAAGGCACGTCATCTCGTCCGGGCGGTTCCCACGGCGGCGGTCGAAATGGCCTCAAAGACGTGAATAATTTTTTTTTTGGGACTAGGGGCTGCTTGTTGGAAATTTGATAATTATTAGGGGTTCAATTACAATTTGAAGATATTTTGTTGTATTTCAATTTAGCCTATGGGCCCAATCTGTAATTTATAAAAAATTATGATTTTTTTTATATTTTCTTATACTTAAATTATATATGTTATATTATATCTTTTTTTACTCAAAAAAATAGTAATAATAAACTAAAATAATAAAATACTAAAATTTATTTTTATAATAATAATAATAATAATAATAATAATAATAATAATAAAATATTTTAATCATTTAAGTTGGCTCGATTAATCAAACAATTAATTCAATTATTTATAGTTCAATTTTAGTTTGTATTTGCACAAAATGGAACAGAGACTAAATGCACAATATTTAGAAACATTATGCACGTAATTGACTGTCAAGATGCACTATAATGTTAGATCAATTGCATATTAAAGCATTTGAGATTGCACGTTAGCATAACGGTTTGCATTTTTGCACCAATATTAAAATCTAGATTATTTCGTTCCAATTTCCACGTTATATACAAAATAATAAATAAATAACCGAAATATCGAAATCGGTCAAAATGTATAAAAAATATTATTTAAAATTTAAATATACATATATTATTTAATTTCAATAAAAAATAATGTAAACTTTTATATAAAAATTTGTAAATGCTAATTATATTTTCATTATTCAAATAATTTGATAAATGAACAGTAATGTTATTTAATATTGCATTATTAAAGATGTATAACGTTGAAATGCACACAAAAAAAGTGATAAATAAAACTAGTCGCTTAGTAGACTGCACATTAAAGATAGCCTAAATGCACATTAGTGTATACGAGATTGCACATTATCGATTTCAATATTTTGTATATTATGCTTTTCAATCAATAATAATATAAAAAATATTATTAAGTTATTAAAATACTAAATGAATTTATAATATAAACTATATTGTTTTAATTAAGGTAATTCCGTTAACCGGCCGAATAAATCAAGTAATTCGATTCACTTTCAATTTGGGTTGGGACGTAAATACTATATGTTCAGACAGCACAATAACGACAGAAACCGTTCACAGTATAATAAGACGACTTGCACATTAATGACTGTCGGACTGCACAACAACAACAAATCGACCAAAATAAATTTCTTGGTACATTTTTTCATATTTCGATTCGATTATATGTTTATCTTTTTTTAAATCTTGTTATTTCAACCAACATAATTTATAAAATAAAAATATTAAAATGATAAAATATAAATGTCAATCGATGACCACAAATGTGCATTGTCATTTTGGTATTTTTTGAGGTTTTAATGTTCATATATCCATACGATATCGTGCACTTTATTTATCGTTGTTGTGCACAGAGTTGTGTACTGGAAATGAATAGTATTTTGTAATTATTATTTTTTTAATAAATTGCATATTTAAACCATCAATATAGGGGAAATATAATAAAGTTTTTAAAAAACTAAATTGAATAAGCACAAATTATTTATCAATATTCGATATTTATTAGATTTAGTTAATTATATAATTAATTAATAATTATATTGCTTTATAATCAATTGTTTTTTCAAAATTGCAAAATGGTCCCTACATACTATCTATATTTCCTAAAAAAGACCCAAACTCCATTTCTCAGATCTGGAAAAATACATCTTCCAGCCCTTTGTCCATAGGAGCAAGCTTTAACTTTTTTTTCTTTCCCATCACTTTCAGTCGCCGCACTTCCATCCTCGACTCACTCGCATGACGGAGCCGCCGTCGGACCCAAGATCTGCTGGAACGAGAAGACCGAGCAGTTAACTCTGGTCGACCTCCGTCTGCAGTCGAGACGTCTCGCTTTCGGCCGCTGTTGAGTCGCGTCGCCTCCGTCCCCCTCCTCGTCCCATCGTCCCTGTCAGCCATCTCAACGCCTCGCCGCCGCGTCGCCTCGCCTCCATCTGCCGGCGTGGAGAACCGGTGTGGCTCAATGATGGATGCAGGTACCGTCGGAGATGATGGCGGCGACGGGCTATGTAGACGACGACTGACAGTCGGGGTTGATGGCTCGGCGATTGGACTGATGGCTATGGCGTCGGCGTCGGAGATTATGGCGGCGGCGGCGGGCTATGGAGACGACAACAAACACTCGAAGATGATGGCGGCGGCGGTGGCGGTCTGGGGCTATGCAGCGCCGTGATATTGGTTGCCGGCGGGACAGTTTGTGCGTGTGTGTGTGTGTGTGTGTGTGTTCTGTAAAAGTAGTGTGTGTTGTGTGTGAGAGATGATAGATGGGTAGGTGACGTTTGGGTTGGTTGAGGATTCTGGATGTGGGTCCCACTGGGTTGGAATTATTTATAGTGACCAATTTACCCTTCATTAGTGGTCAAATACACATATTTGAACATAATATTACTAGTTATTTACTATATTGCCATTAATGATTGACCATTATTTATTAAAGTTTGACTTGATCATGGTCATTGATGGGATATATCCAGTGGTTCAGAATTATTCTTATTTCTTTCATTGTGACTCATTCTCATTTGAGCGCACTTCTATATAATGATGATATAATTTTGGCTTTTTTTCAGCCATTAGATCATCCGATCTAATGATTATGATTCATTCTTATTTCTCGCATTAAGAGTCATCCGATATATATATATATATATATATATATATATATATATATATATAGACATTTATTCACACACCAACTCTCCATTAGTGGGCCCCACATCCAATTAAATCAATTAAACGTAACCATTCCCAGAACCCTCTACCCAGCTCACCCTGTTTCTCTCTCACACACTTTGTATTTCTCTTTCACACACACACACGTTACACACAGTGCACACCCACGAAACACACACACACAACACGGACTTGCCGGCGGAACACGCACATTTATCGGCGGAACCTTCAGACATCCATAGCCGCCGCCTTCGTCATCACGCTGCCGCCTCCGCCACACTCCGCCTCTGACACACCATCGCCGCCGCCGCGTCGCCGCAGCAGTCGAACCTCCTCTTCAAATTCCCGTCGTTCTCTCCGTCATCGCGGTGCTTTCATCATCTGTCCCGATTCATCTCAGCGACCTTCCAATCGCGGCAACCTCGAAGCAACTGGCTGCCCTCCGCTGCCTCCGCCTAACTCCGGCGACCTCCATTAGCGACCAATTGACCTTCCACCAACCCCGAACGAGAAGTTTATGGTGCTTTCGATCAACGGTCAGGGTTTCTATCTCCGATTGCGTCAAATTGGTCGGAGATCTGCGCCTGCAGGAGACCCAAGCACCTGCAATTTCTAAAATTGAATTGAGTCTTTTTTTTTTGAAAATTAGAAAGAGATCAAGGGTCTAATTGCAATTTATCAATTCTACTTCTATTTCAATTATGACATCTTGCCAAATATGGAATATTAAAAGTTAAGATGGTGCTTCTATTTCTATGATGATATCTCATAAAAACTTTTGTATCAAATAATAAATAATACAATATGCCAATTATTTAGTGTAATTTTATTCATAAATATATATAATAAAACTAATTTATTAAAATAATAAATTGCATAATTTCACTTTATACGTCCACACGTTGCACTTTATAAAACACTATGTTGCACTTTACAACACCACACGTTGCACCTTATCACGACTGCCGGATTGCACATTATATATCGTAGCCGAACTCAAATTTTTCAACCGAAAATAATATAAAAATAAAAGATAAAATTATTAATATATAAATAACTTGATTTGGGGCAAAAATATGAAAATTACATAATTTCACTTTATACGTCCACACGTTGCACTTTATAAAATACCATGTTGCACTTTACAACACAACATGTTGCACTTTATCACGACTACCGGATTGCACATTATATATCGAAGCCGAACTCAAATTTTTCAACCGAAAATAATATAAAAATAACAAATAAAAATTATTAATATATAAATAACTTGATTTGGGGCAAAATATGAAAATTACATAATTTTATTTTATACGTCCACACGTTGCACTTTATAAAATATCATGTTGCACTATACAACATAACACGTTGCACTTTATCACGACTTCCGGATTGCACATTATATATCAAAGCCGGACTCATATTTTTTTAACCGAAAATAATATAAAAATAACAAATAAAATTATTAATATATAAATAACTTGACTTCGGACAAAAATATAAAAATTACATAATTTCACTTTATACGTCCACACGTTGCACTTTATAAAACACTATGTTGTATTATACAACACAACACGTTGCACTTTATCGCGACTATCGGATTGCGCATTGTATATCGAAGCCGGACTCAACTTTTTCATCCGAAAATAATATAAAAATAACAAATAAAATTATCAATATATAAATAATTTGCTTTGGGACAAAAATATGAAAATTGTCATTATAATTATTAGTAGAATTATTATTATTATTATTTTAATTTTTATGTATAGCAGGGGCACATTGGTGTCGCACGAAATACACATTAATGATTATTATATTGCATACTAACAACAGACACCGACCGATCTAATTTTTTCAATTTGAAATTTTAAATTTCGGTTCGTTTGTATTTATTTTCTTTTAAAATCTCAGTTATTTTGGTTCGATTCCAATTTTTTTTTTTAATGGAAGTCCAATTTGTAAAAAAAGAAAATGTCATTATCATTTTTTTTTTTGTATTTTTATGTACATATTGTATATTTTTCACTAGTAAATAAAATAATATTTAAAATATCAATTATAGTTTGATTAATTACAAATTTGACCCATGAACTAAAAAGTAATATATCAAAAATTCTGAATTTTCAATCAAGTCCATAGAACTTGTCAAATTTACAAAATAGAGCCCTCCATTAAAAATCTGAAAAAGCCGACCAGCTCCACCGCAGAGGCGGCTCCGCCGCCGCCGGCCACCGTGACCGGAGGTTAGACACGACGCCGACTGTTGTCATCGCGTCCACCATGGTGGTCAACCACCTCCATCACCGCATCAACGTCTTCAACCTCCGTCGAACCTTCAACCTCCTCTGCGTCCACCGGAGCTCCAGTCACTGACCGTTTTCTACTGCTTCTGATGTCCCAACGCCGCCGTTCTCGATCTGGATTTCGTCAGCAATCGAATAGACCGGGATGGCCGATCTCGCCGGCGAGCAGATCGACGGAAGCGAGCACCACATCTAGTGACCGGACTGGGGCATGTCGTCGTCTCGGTAAGCTGTTTATGGCGGCGACGAGGAGCTCGACGACGGCGGCAGGCGGATGTTGGCCATGTGTGTGTTTGTGTGTGGAAAATGCGCGCGTGTGTGTGTGTGAAAACTGTGTATGTGTATTGTGTGGGAAGGAGAGATAGTTTATGGTGGGACCCACAAGATAGAAGGTAGGTGGTGGGTGGAAATTGTGAGATGACATAAATGCCCTTAATGAGTGGTCAACATTATACATTTGACTATGAAATATACACTTATTTACTAAATTGCCATTAATGATTGACCCTAATTTGACTTCATCCTAACCATTCATATGTTGGATCCAATGATCCAGACTCATTCTCATTTCTCGCATTAAGAGTCATTCTCATATGATCCTTTCTCTATACATATATATATATATATATATATATATATATATTTATATATATATATATAGGGTCGCGCTACGGTGAGAATGACTCTTAGTGCGAGAAATAGAAATAAATCGTAACCATTAGATTAGATGATCTAATGGATAAAAGAAAGTCAAAATTATACGTTCATTAAGGGTAATGTAGTAATTGACACATCACTAAAAAAGGTGGGCCCAATACACATATAATGCACCTGCCAACTACCAAATCAGAATGAATCGGTCAAACCAAACCACCCACCCAATCTTACCCCACACCACCCCACCCCACACCGCACTCTCTCTCACACACTCACACACACCACACATACACAACGCACCAGTCACACACTGACTCACACTTACGTCTGAAAATCTCAGCCACCGCCGTCCGCCAGTGGGCCGCCGTCCGCCGCCACTGCCCTCCAGACCTTCCTCAATCGCCTCCATCCTTAGCCGCCGCAACCGAGCACATCCTCTCTCTCATGAACACACACACACACACACACACACACTAACCAGACACACACACGGCGAGACACACACACGGCGACCCACACACAGACACAACGGCTCACACACGATAATCCGACGCACGCAAAATCATGTATAGGTAGCCGTCTGTTGTAGCAAATTATTTTTTTTTACCGAGCACCGAATCGATTGATTCGTTTCCCGGGTCGATCTCTCGAGGAAGACTGTTCAGAATCTAGAGTTGGTGTTGAAATCACAAGAAAGGAAAATAACTCCTAAACACTCTAATCAAGATGGTAAAGATTGATTATTAACTAAAAATAGTATAAAAGCAACTAAAAAGATAAATGGAAAATGCGAAAGACACTAGGGAATCGGGAATAAACGTTTTGAATCGAAATGCAATTATCAGCTAGTTATCATTCGGTTAAAAGGCTCGATTAATTAACTCATTTAGCGGTTTAACCTCAATATGTCTCCGAACATGCTGATAATCATAAATGAGCGAATTAACGAAACAATTAACACATAGACAATACGTCTCCGAACATGTCTATTTTGTATGAGTCTCGATCAATTGACTTTTCCCCTTTTGGTTCAAGAGTCGATTAAAATAGACTATAGGATTGCCATTCGTCTAGTCTATTCGGATAGTGATCGTCACAGTAGAACACATCATATTCAATTTGAAAACAAGTTAAACATTGAAGTGTCACTCTTCAATTCTTAGAAATCAATTGCAAGGTTGAATTGTCAGTTTTCAACAATACGTCATTCCAAAGAGAAAATCAAAAACCAAATTTAAAACTAAATCATACAAAGTGAACAATCAACGAGCACGATAATTACATACGAAATCAAGTATTCTTTCCCTATCCCTAGCAATAAGAATTAGCTAAGCATATTGAATTCAACACAACATAACATTTCTCCTAAATTAATCATTTTTCATGAATTAATTAAAGAGAGAACTTAAAATTATTCCCAATGTTGAATCCAATTACGAAGCTTCATCCACAAGACCAAAAGAAAAATACAAGAAGAAGGAGGAGGAGGAGAGGGAAAAGAGGGGAAGAACCCCTCTATGGAGTTGTGTTTTCTCAATCCAAATCCTTGCCCATTTATAGATGTTTTCTTCATGTTTTCATCCATATATTATTCCACAAAACAAGCAAAAATGTTTATGGCTCAAAACATGGAAGAAATGGCTCAAAACATGGAGGAAATGACTCAAAACATGGAGGAAAACCCGAGTGGTGGGTCTAGGTGTGGAGCAGGAACTCCGCGGCCGCGACTTTTTTCAGCTGAAGAAGTGCTCTGCGGCCGCGACTTGCCTTCGCTGCCCGCGGTGAAGAAAACTGGACTGCATTGCGCGACTTTACGTTTTGGGCTCATCCGAACTCGAAATTGAGTTCCGTTTTTTCCTACATGTAGCTGACGAAGCCCTCTACGCATTTGTGTTCTCAAATCCAACTTTTTCTTCAAAACTTATTCACCCAAAGCTTTTGACTCCAAGTTGACGGCCTACGTGCACGAATTCGCATATTGGGCCCGTCCGGACTCGAAATTGGATTCCGTTTTTTCCTATGTGTAGCTAAGCAATCCATCTATCAAACCATGATTTCCAAACCCGTTTTCGAGCTAAATCGATTCCTCACGGGGCTTCCGACCTGCACACTAAAAACTAGAAGAAAAACGTAGAAAAATGACAAAATACACGAAAAACACATAAAAAGCCAAAATACAACAAAACACACAATAAACTATAAAATGAACTAAAAACTAACAAATAGACCTAAAACGAGGAAAAATGAACGACAAAATAGTACAGAAAATCGTAACAAAAATGGTCACAACAACTCCCCCACACATAAATCTTTGTTCGTCCCGAACAAAGAGAAAAGAAAACAAAACACGAACATGGGTACGGTATCACATAAGACATGCCTCAAAATGTTTAACTCAATCGGGTCGAATTCCAACGACCGTACTACCATATGCCTCAAATATCGACTTGGCCATAAAATGACAAACTCTCAACACATAGATCATTATATATGCCTCACTCATTTTCTTATATGAATATGTGATGGGTTCGCTCAAAATTAGTCGATATTCACGTTTCAACATAAGCTTGCCAATCGTCTAAATTACTCGTAATCAATCAAAGCTCAAAAACTTTTGAATCAAGAGGACTTCTCGGGTTGTAATGTGGGATGTAGTTAAGGTAAGGATATATATATGGACAAGAAGCTCAAATAAACAATCAAAGTTCTCGAGTAATAAAATACTCGAATGTCCGCCACTCGACCAAACTCAACAAGATAGCATACATACCATCCACCAATGTCTCCACAAAAAACACATAAATGCTCCAATAATGCTTGACTTATTACACATTTTTATATTATTTTTTATTTTTTATTTTTTATTTAGAGAGTTACTCTTTTCGAACAAGCTCGAATCGACAATATTCCTTAGGTTTAAACATTGGAGGTCATCCAAGTGTCCTAAGGTGGTTTCCCAATACTCATTACTCGTTAAAATAAATAACAAGTAAGCAGAGTAGAATCCAATCGATTCGTCTTGCAATCTCTCATGTATTTTTTTTAATTGTCAAGCATAAAATGCAAGTCGAGTTTCACCTCATTCAACAATGACTCCGTTCTTACCAATCATCACGCATATCAATCAACAAAATACATTATATGTACGGCTGAGAAGAAACGGCTCAAGGCTCAAATGGGTTACTAGGAAATATCATTTTTTTGAACTAGAGAACAAGGCAAAACGAGCTAACAAACAAAACATCTCAATCATTTTCGCAATTTCAAACTCTAACCGATTCTTTTCAAATAAACTCAAGGCAAGTTTTAATCATTCGAGAATACGACCAATATCTCTCAAGAAAGAAAAGTAAGGATCAAAACCTCACAAGGTTAATAAATGTCACTTAAAGCAATCAAGTAAATATCGAGGCAATGATCAATACGTCTGTCATCACAACTTCCCAATTTCATCAAACATTTATCAACAAATCATATAATTTACCAATATCACATGCTTAACGACACAAAAAAACCTAAATCTAGATCGGTCCACCATATAAGCATGCAAAATCCAAGTAAACTCCCCACACATAAAATGAAGTAATGTCCTCATTGCTTCCACACATAACCGGGAAATTCAAATATCAAGGCTTAGCAATTTCACATCATGAAACAATTTAGCATCGACACAACAACACAAAACTCAAAAGAAAAGAACACAAAAAGAGAAAAGGGTGTGCAAACTGAAGGTGCGTCGATGAGGATAATCGTTCACGTTCAATTTTTTCGCCCACGCTCAACCCGAGACTATAATCTTGTTAGTTGAACTCCCATACTGCAAGCTCGTCCCTGGCAAGAAAATCACAAAACTCCACAACTCTCATTATGCAAAAATAAAAACAAACTAAAAAGCGTAAACGATATACACAAGAAAGCAGTAAATGAAAGGAAATTATTTTTTTTTACCGAGCACCGAATCGATTGATTCATTTCCCGGGTCGATCTCTCGAGGAAGACTGTTCGGAATCTAGAGTTGGTGTTGAAATCACAAGAAAGAAAAATAACTCCTAAACACTCTAATCAAGATGGTAAAGATTGATTATTAACTAAGAATAGTATAAAAGGAACTAAAAAGATAAATGGAAAATGCGAAAGATACTAGAGAATCGGGAATAAAAGTTTTGAATCGAAATGCAATTATCAGCTAGTTATCATTCGGTTAAAAGGCTCGATTAATTAACTCATTTAGTGGTTTAACCTCAATACGTCTCCGAACACGCTGATAAACATAAATGAGCGAATTAACGAAACAATTAACACATGGACAATACGTCTCCGAACATGTCTATTTTGTATGAGTCTCGATCAATTGACCTTTCCCCTTTTGGTTCAAGAGTCGATTAAAATAGACTATAGGATTGCCATTCGTCTAGTCTATTCGGATAGTGATCGTCACAGTAGAACACATCATATTCAATTTGAAAACAAGTTAAACATTGAAGTGTCACTCTTCAATTCTTAGAAATCAATTGCAAGGTTGAATTGTCAGTTTT